GGGCTGGTCACCTTCCTGACATGGAACTGCTGCAAGATGACCTCAGGAAAGCAGTGGGGCCTGCAGGGCCTCCAGAACCCATCCTCCTTCAGTTCTCCAAACCTTCAGCCAGGCTGTGCGCAAAAGTACAGCAGCTCTGTGACAGTGCCCTCCCCCGACACCTTCCAAACTGCGGGAGAGCCATTGATCGAGTCATGTGGTAAGAACTAGCAGTCCATCTTCACAGACAGTAGTTTGCCTTTGCTTTCCCCACGTTCTAGGCCTATTCTTCTGCCTGCCATTCAGGCATCTCAGGCCTAGTGTCAGACACACAGATAACACACAGAGGGTTTAACTACTTCCCACAGTCACACAAGAGTTAATCATTAATCACTGCAGTGAATCTCTTTCCACAGACATGGCACTTCTGCTTCTCGAACCAAATACTGCCTCATCCAGTATCAACCCTGAAACAAAGTCAGCACTGGTGACCCTCACACAAAGTCCTGATGGACTAAGAGTGTAAGACAATCTGGGTGTTGAGACCTACTCAAAATGATACTGTTTCTAAAGCTAGCCTACACAATACAGGTTACAGGAGGTGAGAGTAAATACTCAGTGAACGACTTCAGCAAGCCACAAAGGAGAACAAGGCAAGAGCATGGTACACTGCTGCTACCTTATCTCAAGAGCACGTTGACGTGAGTCGGTCACATGCCAGTCTTCCTAAGCTTGTGGTTTGTGTGTGGATGTTCTAGCAATGTCCCAAGCTGAAACTAACCAAGTGCTTCCCTCCCATCAAATACAAAACAACAAACCAAAGGCAATTTCAAAGGGGGTCTCAAATAAAGATCAACAGATGGGTAGAACAGCAGAGGAAGTAGACTAACTTCTGAAAATAGATCTGCTCCATTATTTGGTTAGTTTTAAATCACACTGGAAGAGTTGAAGTCTGGGAAAGTAAAGTAAGACGAGGAATCCAACCATGACCACACTAAACTTACTCTGTTCAACAGCACCTGTTAGTCTCATCTTTACTATGAAGTAAAGCCTATTTGGGTAAGGACCTAAACAAATTATTACCACTGATCATTAACTTGCAGGCTGTGAGAACGAGTCCTGTGACAAAGCCAAAAACTTGGGTGGTTATATATCCACACTTACACTTAGGCAAACTGTAATGTTGTATGCCAGTTTGTGTGGTGGGTGTGTTCTATACAGAAGAAAAACCCTTCCAAGTATTTTTCTAAAGAGAACTCAGTCTTGTTTCCCAGCTGGTAAGGTAGCATGCAGCAAAGGCCATAACCATTACACCACAGAACTGGAAAACCATCCTAGTTAACGTTCCCTGCCCCTGCCAGTGGGTCACCCATCAATCAAACCAAGAGCAAGATCGTACTATCACAGCACAGTCTGATCACGTGAAACCTGCAATAAAGGGAAACAGCTGATCTGAGGAAGGTCAACAATGGAGAAACTGCTTCTGGGAACTTAAGGAACTACCCAGAGAGCCACACAAAGCTTTAGATTCCAGTATGTTCAATGTTGTACAGTTCATATTGTCAAAATGGATAGAGCAAAAGTTCAAGTAAGTATGGTCAGTTTTTAAAAAGTCACACATTTCAGGCATTAAAAATAGAATAATTAAACTACAGAATTTATTTAGTACCACATATATATTCTATATTTTTTTCAAAACACATTCCAAAACCATACAAATCATTAAAAACTTGGTTGAAAACTAATAAAACTGACGTCAATTAGCATTCATATTAACTGGGACATTGGGGTTATGAGTGATTTATATTTTCTTCTTTATCTGTTCTCAGTTTCCTAACTTCAGTCAAAAACATTGTCAGAGCACTTAGGCACTGCTGATGGGAACATAAATGATGCAGCCACTGTGCAAAACAGCACCAGCTCCTCAAAACACTAAACATGAAATTAACATTTCATCCAGCTGGTCCAATGAACAACTGGAGAGATGGCCGGTGAGACGGCTCAATGGTGAGACGGCTCAATGGTGAGACGGCTCAATGGGTAACGCTTGCTGTGCTTGACTGACGGCCTGAGTTCTATCCCTTGAATCCACAGTGGAAAGAGAACTGATTCCAGAATATTGCCCTCTGACCTCTCCAACAATGCTGTGGCACACATACACCCATATTTATACCACAAACACACACACATATAATTAAAAAATCCATTGTAAGGAGAAACTTAAGACATTTCTATACTGAAGACTGTATTAGAATTATTCATAGTTGTCAAATTGAGCAAAAAAAGTTAACTATTCATCAACAGATGAACGAGCAAACAAAACACAGCATATACATACAATAGGGCATTATGGGCCTTAAAAAGGAAAAGTGTTTTGACACACATTCTCTTGAAGGCATAATGCCATATGAGGTTTGACAGACCCTAAAAGGTCAAGTTCAGAGAGAGAAAAGAGAACAGTAACTCTCCAGGGTTGGAGGAAAGGAAGTGTGAGGAGCTTTGTGGACCAGCAATCAGTCTGGGGTGGTCAGAAGGTTCTGGAGATAGACAGCAGTAGCAGTCACACAGTGTGAACGCTCTGACCATCAGTGACCCATTCGTTTACTAATACTGAAATGGTAAATTCTGTTGGGCACATAAATAAGACAGCTTTAAAAAATCATTTCTAGAATGAGAATTTTTCAAACTTTTTTTCAAAGAGTAAGTCAAAGAAGAACACAGTAACATATAGAGAATAACTGCAACCACTAACCTGAGACAGATGCCATTCTAAAGCTGAACTGAAGATCCAAGCGTCCTTCTAAAAGTGAAACAACAAATATGGCAACATTTTCTAACAGCAATACTGTTGGGGTTGGCACAAGTCCTGTTCAGCATGCACAGGTATTAGTGATTAGGCAAGGCAGGCATTTTCCAGGAGCAGATTCCTGTGTAACACACTTCCAAAATCTTCTTTACTATCAGCTAAAACTGTTATACTGCAAACTGGGTATGTGCAGAAATGTATCCTTCCCAATTCTCCTGCCCCCATATGAATAATGAACAGGCCTCCCTAACCAATTCCTAACCCTTCCTTTGTTCCTGAAGAGCAGCATTTTCAAAACAATTCCCCTGTTCTCCCCGCCTCCTGATGGCAAAAAATCTTTCTCCACTCTTTCAGGTCTTTCAGCAAGATGTACTTGCTCTGGCTTTGGGTTCACCAAGATGTGAACTCATGATTTTTAGCTACAGTTTAATCTCCAGCACCACAAAACAAAATGTAAACCAAACCAATACAATCAACGACGCTCAGTCGATGACAATCTGTCACTATTGTGTGCAAAAAGAACTAGAAAGCAAACCGTTTTTTAAAATCTTACAGATGCTGGTGCCGAACAGAATGTCAACAACACTCACCAAACGTACTACCATTGCAAAGTGATATAGCCAAAAAAGCCAAATATTAAATAAATCTGCCACCAGATCCATGTGGACCTTAGCAGCATGACACACTGCTCCTCTAAGCCTTAAAAACTGGGATGGCAGAACTCATGGCCTCAACTCACAGAGGCCATGAGTCCTGGGTTATCCTGCTTCCCAGGTTCTGGGACTAAAGGCGTGCACAGCCATATCTGGCAGGACTTATCTTACAAATAAGTCAAATACCGAAGGTTAGGTAAAAACATTAATATATGAACCACTTAGCGTTTTACTGAGCACTTGCCTTAGAGAGTTACTGTTAAACTCACCCTTAAGAGAAACTAGTATTCTAAGCAGGTCATTTTCAGGACCTCCTCTCTGCTACAGGGAGCTTACTCTAACTTCTCTAAATTTTGCTCATTTGCAGAGAGAGAGGGTGAGGGAGCAGCTAGTATTCTATTAGCTTACAAGAATCTGAAACGGTTAAAAATGGGAGAACACGTGATTTATATTAAATTTTAATGGCTAAAACTTAAACCTGAATGACTTCTCCGAACTGTTGTGAACTTTTTTGCACAGTCAATGACAATCTGTCACCATTACAAACAAACAAAAAAAAAAATAGAAAGCATGTTATATTATTTGCTTAATTTTGCTTAATTTTGGATTTTGCTAAAACCAAGAGTGCACACTAAAGACAGATTCTGAGCCCCTCTATTCTCACTTGGACTGTTTGCTTTATCAAACCACACCCTTCCTGTACAAGGCTGTTAAGTCAGGTTGAGCCTTGACTAAACGGTATGGAATGGCCACACATCACTAACGAGCATAAGGATGAGTATAAGTCAAGCCTCCTCCTTCCTCATGTATACCAGCATCTCCTCACCACTTCCTAGAGTGATAATACTCCGTCCATGGACCGGAACGTAAGATCAGAGCAGAGATTGACTCTATTCACTTTTGCAATCAAACAGCCTAGCAAAATGCCTTTTCCAGAACCCGAAAACAGGAGCTCTCTCTTCGCTTGGGAGAGATACGACATAAGTCCATTTCCTCCCACTCTTTCAAATAATCTTTTTTGGACTTTGCTGCCAAAAACCTGTCCCTTTTCTCCAAATTATGTAACTTCACAACAAAAGATATCTCCACACAAAATATATCCAGGAACTAATTAAGTTACGCAAAGGCCTGTCAGTCAAAAGCCTGAGCCAGGTCCGCAGTCATCAAAGCGGGAGGAAAACGCAAGCTAACCCAGAGCGCGCCCCTCCACCCCGCTGCCTCCACAGGAGGAGGTGGAAGCGCATGCTGCGGCGGCCAGGGCTCCTGCAAGCGACGGCAGAGACGAGGGCCAGCTCCCACCCGTGCCGCAGACGCCTGCGGGTCCACGCGCGGGGCTCGGCGCCTCCACGCACCTGTCAGCGGCTCCGAGGTGAAAGAAAACCCTTCCCGCCACCGGCCCGCAGCACCCACCCTTCCGGATCGGCCCCCTCCACCAATCACAAACCAGCTTCTCTCTGATTGGCGGCGTGACGCGGCGCCCAGACGCACATCCGAACAAGAGCACGTGCTATTGGCCCCGCTGCAGCCAATAGCGCGCGGCCTTGCGGCCCGGCGGCGGCGGCTGCGTGTTTCCGGAAGACGTGGCGGCTCGGGCCCGGGCGGCGTCCCCGTGGCTCTTCTCCGGACTAGGCTTCGCAGCGTGGGCCCCGAGGCTCCGCGGTCCTCGCCGCCGCCGCCGCCATGATCTCCCTCACGGATACGCAGAGTAAGCGCTGCCGGGGCCCCGCGTTGGCCTTGCTCCCGCCGCAGCCTCTGCTCCGCCCCGCAATGAATGGAGCGAGCGCGGCGTGGGGCGGCGGCCTGCGGGAGGGAGGGGGCCGCGACCGGACGACAGTCGGCCTACCCCGGCTCGAGTGGTGCCGCCGCCGGACAAAGTTTCCGGGGCGCCGGGAATGGGACCGTCCGCCCGCACTTGGGTTCCTGCGAGACCAGGGTGGCTCGGGGCATAGAGAGCGGTAGTGATTTGCCTTTAGACACCGCTGTTAGCAGCCTGCCCAAAATTCCCTTGCAAAGACTTCAGTTTTCTGCCTGTTTAGGTTTCAACCGAGTTTGTCAATTTTAAGGTCACTTTGCGCTCAGATAGAGCATTGACTTTTGTTGGGAGTGGTGGTTTACTTTTCTGTGTTAGGAGTCGGGATCACACTGTGTATGTAAATGAACCCGGCCTTTCTCTCTTTGTGTATGGGCTGGTTGGTAATCCTTCTGCCTCGACCTCTAAAGCTCTGAGATTACAAGCATGAGGGACCCTGCCTGTCTCTACAGGTAAAGGATTTCTTTATTAGTGTTGTTGCATACTATGCTTAGTGGTGTGATTTATATTAGCATCCGTTTCTGCCTATCTCATCATTCCGATCAGCTTTGCAGTCTTGCCTTTTTTGTGGCCCCAGAGATGAGAGCATACTGGACAAGTGCTCTGGACCAGTAGAGCTGTGTCCCCGGCTCCATCGTTTTCATTTTTCTGCCTTTCTTGACAACCTCAATTAATTTTCCACCAAACCCTGTTTACTTTTTAAAGTTTTTTTTGGTTTTTTTTTTTTTTTTTTTGAGTATGACATCTTTTTGCCTCACCCTTCCTCATTACCAATGACCTTTGAGTCTTCAAACTCTAGTCACCTTAGATTTTCAAGATTCTGTTGAACTGGAACGAAAGCCTTCCTTGAAGTTATTCTCGAATGGAGTCTGAAGATTTAAATTCAAGTCATGGCACACTGGAATGTTACAGATCTTCTATGGTTCCCTGTACACCTTAGAAGCCCAATCATACCCATGGGTTTTTGATTTGGACTAACCCCGGAGTGTTGCCTGTTGGTCCATCAGCTTCATTTGGTTCTACTCAGAAATAAGAGTGTCCCTTTGCCTTTTTCACAGGTGTATGAGTGTTTTCTTTCATTTTAATGTAAGATGTAGATATATAGATAAGTGAGCTTAATTTTTTATATATGTGGGGTGGGGGGGTGGTATGGACATATGCATGTGAGCTGGAGTTACAAACCGTTGTTAGCTGCCTAATGTGGATACCAGGAACCAAACTCAGATTCTCTGGAAGAGCAGGGGTTTTTTTTGAGTTTGAGTTTGAGATAGAGATAGTGTGAGCGTGGGAAGGCAGACTTGGGCCATTTAAAATTGGAACATGTAAGACATTCAGGTACTCATAGACACATACACATAGACAGAAAAGGCTATGGTCCCAAGACTGATGGCTCAGAAGTCCTTGTTCTTTTCACTGTACTGCTGGCTGCTAAGGAGACTTGATGTAAATATTCACATCTGGGGATGGTACAAGTTTGTGCACAAGGCAGAGATCTTCAGTCTCCAGGAATTGGACTCTGAGGAAAAAGCCACTTTTCCACCTCTTTTTATCAAATTTCTTGAAAGGATGAAATTCTGTGCTGTTCACTTGCCAATGCCTGAGGTGAGATGGTGAGTTACAACCAATGGTTAGGGGACCAGAGCTTTTAAGTTCAGATTGTATCTGTGTCTGTGTTTACTGCAGGATTGGACCAGTATCATCCCAGAGAGATGCCAACATGATTCAGGGCTTTATTCTGAGAAGGGTGGGTGACAGTTGATGATTGACTTAAGACACTATAGTAGCACTCTCCCCATTCCAGCAGTGCCTGAAGAAATGCCAAGACCTGCAATGGGGACAGCGTCCATGTTACATCTGGGTTGTCATATTAAGTAAAATGCTGCTGTAGTGTTTGTTTGACTTACTGAGATTGACACCTGGTTGAACTTACCTGTTTTCTTAAAGGTTGTGATGGCAAAGGAGAGTCTGCTCTCAGTATCACTGTCACGGCAACGTCAGCCGAGTGGACATTAAGTTAAACGGGTCGTTTGTTTGTTTTTTTTTTATAAAATTTCCTAAGTAGACTTTTTTTTAATGTTATCTAATTTAATCTCTCAGATTGCTTATATCAAAATTTACTTTTTATAGGCAGAAAAAAAAAATGAAGATAGGATATTTTCCCAAGTACGATCCTGGCAGGAAGACCGTTGTGCCATATAGGCCTTTTGACTTCGGAGAACTTATGGATGGATAAGGACAGGGACAAAGGAAAATCTGGAGATGAGAAAGGGTGTGGTGAAGTGTTTTGACCCATTTCAGTAGGGTATTCCTGGCAGCATTGTGCTAGTGATAATTTGGCAAAGATTCCACAGGCAGCTGTCCCCTTCTGAGCTGCACTTGATGAGGCCATGGGAATGTTTGGGTTCTGGGCTGTAGCAAGATTGTGGATTGAGAGGACTAGATGTGAAGTCTACCTGCTGCTGGTGGCTTGGCTGCCACCCCCACTAATACTTATATACAGCAGTCAGTAATCAGATGTCTGCGGGAAACTTGAGCCATTGCTGCTTGGTGCCTCAGAACTTTGTTAAAGGAATCATCAGGCATGTGTATGGACATTGCACTGTGATGAGCCACGAGGCATCCTTTTCCACTGCAGCTACCTCTTAATAGTTCTGGTGCCTACTGAGATTAAACTAAAGTCAGTAACATTCTATATAGTCCAGTACCCTTGAGTTCAATAAATGTGTTTTTAGACTGTGGGTAAAAATATTTATAATGGTTAAAATAGGCCTGTTTTAAGGCCTATTTTACTTGACCATAGTTTGATTTGGGGCAGCTTGAATCCCCTCTCTACACATCATCTTCCTCCAACCCTAAAGGGATTCTGCCTCCGTTCCAATGATACTGGGAAGTTGCATTGCATATGCTCTGGGAAACAACTCACAGTGCCTGACTCCTGGCAAGTTCTCAGTGCATAACAACTATATTTCCATTTAATGTCCTCCATTTTTAAACTTGGGGAATGCTTTTACTTTGTGTGTGCATGCACAGTTCTGTCCAGATTGACATTGGGTGTCTTCAATCATTCTCTGTGATATATATATATGAATGAATGAATGAATGACAGGATCTCTCACTGAACCTGGAGCTCACTGATTAGGCTAGCCTGCCTGGCCAATGAGTTTCAGAATCTTCCTGTCTCTGCTTCCCTAGCCCTGGGATCACAGGCATGAACCACTATCTCTAGCTTTGTAGGTTGGTGCTGGGGATCTGAACTCAGATCCTCATGCTTGCACAGCAAATACTTTACCAGCTTGATTTCCTTTTTCAAAAACAAACATCTTTAGATTTTGTATAATTATTAAGATAATTTGTGAATATAGAAGTTAGTCACATTTGGATAACTTGACTGTTACGAATTGCTCCTAACAACTAGTTGCTTAATAGAGTTTCACTTTTAGTTGTTTTAGTAAATTCTCCTCTAAAACATTTGAGCAAGAAAATAATTAATCTGGAATTTTGGTATTTGCATCTGAAATACATTTAAACTAGAATGGTGGTAGACAGGCTTGTAGATTCTTTCAGAATAGTTTTAGAAACAAAATGGAAGTATATAAAAATTGAGACCTTGGAGATGTAGAGAAAGGTAAAGTTTATAAAGTATTGGTTCATCAGACCCTGATGTAGCTCGGTCCTAATATTGTTGAGTGTGTGCTGTGTGTGTATGTATGGCCTGGATTTTAGCCCTGTAGAGCTGAAGGGATGGGTCACAAATCACTAATACAAACAGCAGTTCTTGGGGGAGGGGTTACCAGTTAGCCTCTAACAGCTGCAGCAGGACGACTGAGAAGGAACTGGCCGGTTTTGCTTTGTGGCAGTAACAAGAATGTCTGTGGGCTCAGACATAAGATAGGACCTAGACAATGTAAGGTCAATAAGGCATTTTATATGCAGGGTAGACCTCGATTATACTGTGTCCACCCGTATTTAATACCTACAACACCCCTTGGTCTCTAGTAGTTGATTGACAAATCTTGATTTCTAAGTGAACAAGTAAAAACGTGTGCTAGGTTGTAATTTCAGGTTCTAGTCTACTTTATACTGCATTGGTAGTGTAAAGTTTGTAGGAGACAAATAGTTAAAACCTGTGCATTTTTGTCTAAGACCAGAGAGGTTTTTCAGAGGTAAATATATATAATCAAAGGTTTAGAATCTAGTCCTGTCTTTTCTTGTCTCCTGCCTAAGAATTGGGAATTTTCTTCTTTCCTGATTTACACTTGGCCATATAACTAGTTGTGCTGCATCTTGTTAAAGGTCTTGATGCCATTAAGAAGCTGACCTACAGGGTGGGGACCTTCAGGATTTTGTGCTGGATTTGCAGGATTGTCAGGGACCTGATTCTTCTCGCCTTAACCATGTGCTTTGTGTTGCAGAAATCGGCATGGGCCTAACAGGATTTGGAGTGTTTTTCCTGTTCTTTGGAATGATTCTCTTTTTTGACAAAGCACTGCTGGCTATTGGAAATGTAAGTTTTGAATATGTACATTTTAAATTCATCAAGCAGTTTTACCTATTAGTGACCTATTTTACCTATTAGTGTTCCTTGCTGTCAGTCGTAGGTAAATGACTCTCAAGTTCACTGGTGCAGCAGCAGTGAACCCCATCAGCTCTCTGTGTGAATAAAAGATCAACTTAAGTGCTGTGGATATCTGTATGCTGTGAATGTGTTCCTCTGATTGATTGATAAATAATATGCTGATTGGCCAGTACCCGGGCAGGAAGTATAGGTGGGACAAAGAGAGAGGAGAATTCTGGGAACAGGAGGGCTGAGTCAGGAGATGCTGCCAGCTGCCGCCATGAGAAGCAAGATGTAAAGTGCCAGTAAGCCACGAGCCATGTGACAACTTATAGATGAATAGAAATGAGTTAATTTAAGATATAAAAACTAGATAGCAAGAAGCCTAAGCCATTAGGCCAAACTGTTAAAATAATATAAGCATCTGTGTGTTTATTTGTGTCTGAGTGGCTGTGGGCCCAGGCAGAACTGGAGATAACTTCAGCTACACTTAAGGTTCCCACTTGGTCAACTACTCTAAATGTTTGTGGTGTGATTTACAATGGACTACATGGGTGCTACCCCTAAGTAGGAGGAGTTGGGAGGCAGAAGACCTAGCCAGGCATGGTGGCTTAGACCTATAAACTCAACAGGTAGAAAACCAAGGCAAGAGGATTGCCACTAGTTTAAAGCTAGCCTGGGCTACAGAGCAAGGTGTTATCTCAAAAAATAAAGAGAAGAAAGATGATATGCTAGTCCCATGTGTAGTAAATTTACGAAACTATTTTGAATGTAAACGTCTGAGACAGTGCATGTGGTTAAATTGCATAAACAAATTTTTAATAACCTAGAAGCTTTTAAAAAGTACATCTTCTGACTGGGCGGTGGTGGCACATGCCTTTCATCCCAGTACTCGGGAGGCAGAGGCAGGTGGATCTGTGTAAGGCCAACCTGGTCTAGAGAGTGAGTTCCAGGACAGGCTCCAAAACTACACAGAGAAACCCTGTCTGAAAAAAACAAAAAAAGATGTACATCTTTTGTCATGAGATGGCTCAGTGGGTAAAGGGGCTTGCCACCAACTAATCCCTGGAACCTACGAGATGGAAGAAAAAATCCAACTCCTCTAAGATAGCCTCTGACCTCTATGCACATGCCCACATACAGGTAAATAAGTGAATAAATCAATGCAATTTTTTTGAGGACTTGTTTGTGTTCCTGACTGATAGAAAGGATATGCTTTTTTTTTGCTTGCTTGTGTACTGCCCTGTCCATGTGTTGGGGTCGTACAGGAGTTCCAGGAGGAAATAACCCCCCTTGTGAGAAGATGGAAAAGTCATTGAATGATATTGAGATATTTTTGAAGTCTGTGGCCTACTTTAATTGAAAAGAGACAGGATAGCAAAGTTGGTGTTTTCATCTGGTGGTATAGACAGAACTATTATCTGGGAATATGGCACTTAGCTGGTAGGCTTGGTGTGCATTGGTAAGGAGTAATGTTTCCTGAGGAAAGCTAATGGGGGAAGAATTTCACACACAGTGTAGGGGAATCATTTCTTACCATGTGTGTCTATTCTGCTGCTAGGCTCTTCTCCTTGGCTTTGCACGGACCCTCTGCTGTCTGCATAGCCACCACCCAAATTACCCACCCATAGAAACCCCTGTACCCCATCATGACTGTTGCAGAATTAGGGACTACATTTGGTGACACATAAAAGCAAGCTGACCATCTAGGCCTTGCCAGATGTCTGTTTGACTAAGCCGTTTCCTTTCCCATCCAACCAAGCTGAGAAAACTGCTGCAGATGTGGGTCCCTCTGTCCCATTTCATCATCTTTCTCCATTGAATAGAGTTAGACAAGGAATGAGGCCAATGACTTGATAGCCAGGACTTCCAGCATGCGGGCCCCACGCTCTGGCTCCGCTGTGAGACATACAGGCAGGACTCTGGCACTGCACACAGCAGATGCCAAGCAAACTGCTTCACTGCTGACTTAACTCCTTGCTCTTCACTTGATGAGGTGTTTAACCCTTTCTCTGTTGTGTTGTCTTTCTCTCCTAGGTTCTGTTTGTGGCTGGCTTGGCTTTTGTAATTGGTCTAGAAAGAACATTCAGATTCTTCTTCCAGAAACACAAAGTGAAAGCCACCGGGTTTTTCCTGGGTGGTGTGTTCGTGGTCCTTATTGGTTGGCCTTTGATAGGCATGATCTTCGAAATTTATGGATTCTTTCTCTTGTTCAGGTAGGCCATTATTTTCTTCCTTTTACTGTGCCAGTGTGTCACATAACTATTACAGAATCCTGGGTAGTTTCATTAATGTAAGAGGACCACTTCACCGCTGTTTAGACTGAGTCTTTTTCATTTCAGGTCAGTCAACTATAAAAATGTTCCCTAAATGTAAATGACTGCCTGAATAAGGTAACAAAGTATTTGTTGAGTATTTTCAGTGTTCCTTCCTCTGATGACTCTAGCTTGTGTCAACTTGACACACAAAACCAGCCAGTACAACTGACCCCTTTTCAACTTGACACATAAACACATCACTGTTAAGCCACAACCCTTCCTTTCTTATTCATTCCCCAAGATCTTAAATAATTTTAAAAGTCCCATGGTCCTTACAAACTCAAACACATTTAAAATTCCAGTTCCTTTAAAATAGTCAATCTCTTTAAAAATACAAAGTCTTTTTAAAATGAAGTCTCTCAACAGGGCTCCAGTAAAATACTTTCAGGCCACAGTCACAATCAAATCAGAGCACAACAAAATTCTAACTGTTCAATATCTGGGATCCATTCATGATGTTCTGGACTGTTCCAAAGGGCGTGGGTCACTTCTCTTGCTCTGTCCTCTGCAGCACACACATCTTGCCTTCTAGGCTCTGGCTAGCTCCACTCCACTCCTGCTACTGTTCTTATGGTCATCCCATGATACTGGCATCTCCAATATGCTGGGGTCACTTGCTACAACTGGCCTGCACTTTACCAGTAGCCTCTCATAGGCTCTCCTCATGGTGCCAAGCCTCAACTTCTTTGCATGATTCAGTCCTGGGCCTTTACCTGCCACTGAGACTGTACCTTCACCAATGGCATTTCCTGGCCTCTCAGAATACCAAGCCTCAGCTGCTCTCCATAACCCTTTCATGCCTTCAAAACCAGTGCCACCTTGGTGATGCTTACACATTACCAAGTCCAGCTGCCAGCACGAGGTACAACCTTGGCTGCCTCTAGAACACAACTTCTCTGTGCTCTCAGGAAACACATCCCAGAAGATTTCACCTCAGTGATGCTGGTCTCTTCTTAATCACTGCTAATTTCTTCGTCCAGCCAACCAGCATTAGGTATCCCAGCAAAGAAAAATTTTTGCCTTAGTAGTTCTGGTATTTTGTTAATCACAACTTTTTCTTAAGCCCCAGTTAACCAGAACCACAGGCTCTTAATTCAAAATAACACATGGCCCTGATAGAGTCTTTAAACTTCCCTCTGAAACTTTGCAGGCCAGGCCTCTGTCCTCTGCACTTTCTTTCAACATTCTTCCAAGCTCCTAAAGAACACCCCACTGAGCTCTTAACACTCAATAGTTCTTCTAGCCCAAAGTTCCAAAGTCGTTCCATAATCCTCCCAAAAACGTGGTCAGGTCTGTCACAGCAGTACCCTACTCTTGGTAGCAATTTGTCTTAGGGTTTCTATTGCTGCAATGGAACACCATGACCAAAGAGCAAGTTGGGGAGGAAAGGGTTTATTTGGCTTACACTTCCACATTGCTGCCTATCACTGAAGGAAGTCAGGACAAGAACTCAAACAAGGCAGGATCTTGGAGGCAGGAGCTAATGCAGAGGCCATGGAAGAGAGCTGTTTACTGGCGTGCTTCCCCTGGCTTGCTCAACCCACCTTCTTATAGAACCCAGGACCAGCAGCCCAGGGATGGCATCACCCACCATGGGCTGGGCCCTCCCCCATTGGTCACTAAATGAGAAAATGCCTTTACAGCTGGGTCTCATGGGGACATTTCCTCAACTGAGGCTCCTTCCTCTGATGACTCTAGCTTGTGTCAAGTTAACACACAAAACCAGTCAGTACAACAGGGTTTGATGTTTCTTTAGTGGAATAGATGGGTGGAGAGACATGTCATTTTCTTACGTAAATATGTTGCTTTATAGTGGCTGCTTCTTGACAGCAACATGCTTAGTGCATGTGTTGGTAAGAAATCCAGTACTGAACACACTGGAAATGTTGATCAGTGCTGTCTTGTGGGAACAAGTTAGGCAATAAGCAGAGGGTACATGGTGAGAAGATGTGTTCAGTAACACTGCTTGTATTTATTTTTTAAAATGCTAGGCACCATGTCACCTAAACCATGAAAATGAATTAAGTGCCAAATCTGTCTTAGAAAAGCTACCATTTCTAATACGGAAAACAGACTGTAAAGTCTCAAAAACATACAGTGATGATGTTATGTCACCAAAGAAAGACACAGACTATTCTAAGATCTTAGTAATCGGGGAGCTTATCCAGGGAGAGGCCAGGAATGTTCAGATAAGCTGAGACTTAAAGAATGGATCAGACCACATCCTGTAGATCAGCAAGAAGTTGACTAGTTGACTGACAGGAGAGACTGGCAGACTTGTGAAAGCTGTTTGTTCCAAAAAGAGGGGAGCAATTTCCCAATGGGAGTGTGGGCCATACGCAGGAAGAGGCAGTGAGGCCAAAATGAATGTGTAAGCCAGCCAGGCTGCAAACTTTTCTGAATGAGTTGCTTATTGTCTTACCAGATTTAGGCTAAGGAGCTGTGTGTGCAGCAGAGAGGCAGGGACACAAAGATTTTTAAGCCAGAAACAGTTGAACCAGGTAGGCATCTTAGACTACTCTAGTATCAAAATGAAATGCACATCAAGGTTCAGGGAGATTGCCCAGTGGCTAAAGGTATAAAGGTGTTTGCCACTAAGCCTGAGGACAGACCTGAGTTGGATCCCCAGGACCTACATGGTGGGCTTGGAGAACTGACTCCTGTAAGTTGTCCTCTGATTTCCACACCTAACATGGTGTGTGCTACGTGCCCACACTCATTAATAAGAAAAATTTTAGGGTGCATTTCAGAAAGAACAATTGGAGGCAAGGAAAATAGTTAAAAGGCTCAGACTTGGTGCCCAGTATAAAGTTAGGACATTGAACATTAGCTGTTTGCCATTGGAGTGGAAAAAGAAAGCAGAGTGGAGTTAGGAGTAAGAATCCCTGGGCTAAGGAAGGAAGGGCGCCTCTTAAGGCAAGTTGAGCATGTGAGAGACTGAGAGTGAATGCTGGCAACTATACAGTCTCCAGCAATGGAGGTTAAAAGGCCAGACTTGGCCCCTGATGCCAGTACAGAACAAGATACCATTGTTTTATTGGTAAACTGCATTAATACATCAGCTTCATGATTTAAAGAGGCTTCTGGAAAAGTCCTCATGCTTCTGCTGAGTTTTGTTTATTCTGAGGGAGGCTTGGCTTAAGATCTAGAGCTAAGAGTCTTTATTGTTCTTTCTCCAAATCCATAAAACCCCCAGTAGCAGTGTATAAAGTCACAATTGTGTGTTTTTTTAAAGATACTTTAAAAAATACATTTGAACTCAGTACTGCTAAGAAAGCAACCTGTATGTCTCTGAAGCATGTGCCTACTTGGACTGGAAGAGCTGTTCCTCTGGGGTGGGTCAGTTCACTTCCTGTGGGTTCAGATTTGAAGCTGGCAGCTCCTGACACCTCTCATGGTACTCTCATTCCTGGGAACTGCATTTTAAGAACCAGACACATGTCATTTCTTATGTGTTCTTAAACTCCTTTTCATCTTAGAGAGAGGTGGCCTCACTGACCCACACATAAACTAAACTGTGTCGCTTCTGTGGGCATGTATCCAACACCAAAAACTGGCAAGATGTGAGGCTTACCATCTGGTAGGTGTTCTGTTGGTGGTGTTCTCATGGTTCCATGCATACGGGCTCAGCAGCTCATTTCTTCTGGTTACCCCTCCCCCAGCTCCCCTGTCTTCAGCAGTGGATCAGAGAGCCTATGGTCTAATCACAGCACAACTAGGTCCTGTTACACTCTGGACACCGTTTTACCAGTCATCCCATTGTTAACGCATTTGTTGTAACTGGTGACTCGAGTCTCCGTTACACTTAGCTAGTGGTTCCTCCTGGTAGAAAGCATTGAAGTCTACTAACCTGTCTTCTGCCTCCAGGGGCTTCTTTCCTGTGGTCGTTGGCTTTATCAGAAGAGTGCCTGTCCTTGGATCCCTCCTAAATCTACCTGGAATCAGATCAGTAAGTAGTCATGTATTTAGCAATACATTTTTAAAACCACCCAAATGAATAGATTGTGATGCCTTTTTACTGGGAGCTTGAATCATTGATGTGATTGAGTCATTGTGATAAAAATGATTGTGTCCCATGTATCCCGGTTACCATGAAAACCAGAAATTAATCCTTCATAGATCTGTGAAACCTGATGTTTCGTTTGAACATGCCATTTTCAGTATTGTTTTCTATTTTTGATGTTACTTCAATTGATAATGCTAAGCTACTTTTGTGAATTGATAAGTGAAACTCTTCTTGCATTCAGGGTATGTTCTGTGGGTGCATGATACTAACCTGCCATGGAGGCTCCATCTATTGTGGGGTCTCCGAAGCCTCAGGATTTACCTGCCTTCCCAACTCTCTGTGGCAGACTCAGAATGGCTTTGCCTGCCTTCCTTGTACATACCTCTGTCATAACATGTGCCTGTTTTAATTATCAAGAAGAGAGCTGCAGAGCTGTGATCATAGTTCTTCAGGGCAGAGGTAGACAGATGGCTATTAATCATTCTTCCCCAGGGCCCAGTATAACACCTGCCACTCACAATAGAAATGCCAAACATTTTTCCCAAGTCCGTGAATAAAGGGTAACATTTTACTGACCTCAGAGACCCAGTCAATCTCATGACAACTGTAGGTGACTTCTTTTTAGTCATCTTCTGTAGTCTGAAAACTAAGTGAGATCCTGAAATATGGAGAGAATGCTGGAGATGGAGTCCTTCTGAGAAGGAGACAATTTTTTGGGCTCTAGAGCTAACCCATGTCAGAAGTCACCTTGCGAAGTTCCGTGCTCATTCTGAACAACTAGGTTAAAGTATAAAAGATAATGAGGCCCATTAGTCTGTCTGGAGATTGAAGGGAGAGCCACAGTGTTAGCTGAGTTCTCAGCTAACGAGGGCTTCCAGAAAAAAGAGCACCAATGTAAGCCCAGTCCTTTCCAAACCAGGTCAGTCTTAGAGGCAGAGCACCCTGACTCAGCTTGGGCGTTTGCATTTATTTATCCGTGGAGAATGAATATGGTGTTTCTTTTACCACTGAAATTTATTTTAAGGTTCTAGTGAATTCACAAATACTATCAATCACCTGTTTATGATCATTTCTAAAGTTGGTACCTCAGCTTGGGGTGGGGTGGACCCCGGCCCTATGTATTCTTATTACCAGACTCAACGTAGATATTGTTTATATATAGAATGATGTTTGAATTTACTAAGACCTATAGTTGTAATAGCATATTATGTTCTCAGTTATGAATTCTATAATGATTGTGTAAATGGGCAGCCAGTACAGTAGGGGTCTGTAGTCACTGCCTAAGTGATCTGAAACATGCGTGCAAAAGTACTGCTGGCTAGAACCCGGCAGTTCTCTGCCTTGCAGCATTGCTATGTTTATATACACTCTGTTGCAAGCTGTACATCACCGTCTAGGATGCCAAAGACAAAAAGTTTCTGATTTGGGATGGAGTAACCAAAGTCAATAACCATTTTCATGAGTGTTTGTTGAAGTTCATATTTGACAATTATAAATTTATGTTGGCAACACTGAATGTTTCAGTGTCTTTGCCCCCTTCAGTATGATGTCCAGAATGCTCATTTAACATATTTTTAGTTGATAGTTGTTGTTTATTACTGAACTTAATTGAGTTAAATCTGTGTTTGTCCAAAGACCACATAGGCCCAGAAGAGATCCACAGGAATGGTCAGTGGAAATACTTGTTGGGTTCATTAATGCATGAGTGGCTGGCATTGCAGTCTTTTCTTTTGTGGAGTTAGCAATGTCAGTGTCATTTTATACGTTACTTTATTCATTGTGTTGCATTTTTCATGTTTCACCCTTAAATTCATGTACATGTCATGCAAAAGCAACTTTTAGAAAAGTAAATTATGTACACACCTGAGAAGATGGTGGTGGACACCATCCAGTTAACCACTATCAGTCATGCCTTGAACTCTCACAAATCTTGTAAAACTGGATGTTTTAAACCAGCATTTAAAGTGTGATTCAGTACTATACAGTGCCTGAGCTCCTTTTAATTATTTTTTTTTTCTCCTTACAGTTTGTAGACAAAGTTGGAGAAAGCAACAATATGGTATAACAGCAAGGCAACTGAAGACTTTAAATATTATATTATTTATAAAACCCTTTGAAGAATATTCAGCACAAAGTTAAGTTTCACAAACTAGCTTGTAAAATCCTTCCAGAAGTTTTAATCATATACCTTCCAAAGTACCAACAGTTATTGAAGAAGCAATGACAGCAAGCTTGTGATCAGGTGATCTGAGCGATCAGCGGCTCGAGAAGATGAAGCCTTGTTACAGTGCTTAGTGACTTGAGAAGGCTGTTTCTTAGTCTTGCTGCAACGTGTGAAACAGCCATTCATAGAGAACCATGGTGTCTGTTACTTTTTTTTCCTTTTTAGAAGATTCAGGAACACCGATAGGCATTTATATATATATATATATATAATGTCCATTTTGATGACTCAGATATTTCTAGGTGTGCTGGGTCTCTGATAATGATGCCTGAATTGGATTGGATTATGTCGTCGGTGTATCAGCCCAAGGAAAGCCCAGTTTCATGTGTGAATCACTTTTTTTGTAAACATGAAAATAAAACTTTTGTGGTCCTTTTGAATCTTAGTATTTTGGAGCCAGATAAAAATCTGAACTAGATATTCTTCTTCGGAATACACAGAGGTCATTCTAAGCTGTTACTTCCTCAATCATAGCTGACCAAGTGCTTTCTTGACTCTACAACACTCTGGATGCACAGATGTCTTGAGTGTGGCCTGGGTGTGTTTGTACAATTTGCTTCACGCAGACACCAGAGAGCATTCTGACCATGGAGTAGTCTGCTACAAAGGGGATTGGAATCAAGTTTTGAGATCCTAAATGATGCATACCAGATGGTTTCTCCCATGTCATGATGTAGTTTTTCTTCTTGTTGTGTTCTTATGAAATTTGGCTGCAGTTTCCCACCTTGGTTTCATAACTTGCAGTGACATTGAAGGTGTGTAATATGTTAAAGGCTTGATTCTGTGATTGTAAAAAGAACTGTTAATTTCATCTTGATTTTCCTCTTATTTTCAGCTTTATTATAACATCCAAAAATCAGCATGCATCACATCTGCTTTCTCCACTGTTCTCCATCTTGAGTTAGGAGATGAGATGCCCCGTTGACATGCAAAAGCTATTACACTATAACTAAACTTGCCGTGGTTCCTCAGAAGCGTGGTGCCGGGGGAAGCTTGTCATTCCCTTCTGTTGCTAGTCTGCCAACAGGAACAGCAATGGTTTCCTTCCTTCCTTCCCCGGGCGTTAGTTTTCTTGTTGGAGGTGGGAGCACTTCACAGATAGATTACTATTTCTCTTACCACTAATGATTACACTATTTATTCTTAACAGTGGCAAAGCTTTTTAATGCAGAAAATCATAACTGAAATTCTATTTATTTACAAACCATTTCTACAAGACATTACAAAATGTTTGTTGTTTTTAGTTCAATTTCTTGGTGCCAGGAAAATCCCCAGCCTTGCTGGTCTGCAGAAGGAAGCACTGGTTTGTAGTGGGATGGTTCATTCTTGTGGATTACTGTCGTGTTTGGTACTTGCATCTGACTTTATGGTGTAACCTGTGAAAACTCGATAAATGGAGAATCCTACCTCAATAGCTCATGGGATAATAAAAGACCTGGCGTTATGTCTGATGTTCCTCAAAAAATCACACCTTCCCTGGAGAGTCAGTGCTGTGCTTTGAGAACTGACTTGTGTGAGGCGCCCAGTAGACTTTTCATAGGCTTTGGCCCATGTGATTTGACAATGGCTAGGTGTCTCTCTGTTAGATCAGGAGTCTGCCATTTAAATCTTTCATAGACATGACCCTATCAAAGTGGTTTTTGCACTACAGCAAACAGCCCCTTTCAGCAGTCTGATTTCAGAAAACACTGGACCTGAGAAGATGTGAGAAGTTCATAATCCTTAGTAAGGCAGAGGGCTGGGATGGCAGGGATGGCTTTCAGTTTCAGGTGAGTCTGCAGTGGACCTGGGACTGCTTGCCAACACTGCACTCCTTAGTCAGAACCTTGAAGAGGCTGTTTTTAAACAAACCAGCCTTTTGACTTCCGGAAGCCCTATTCTTGAGGGTTCCCTAGCCCCACTCCCTTCTAAAATCAGCCTTCTGTCTTTGTGACAAAAAAAATTTTTTTGATTATTCTCCCAGATGGAGGAAAAGTTCCAGTACTCAGCCTTAAGTGTTTCTGTCATGTTCAAATGTATCTTCTGTAACAGAAACATGCCTGCAATGTTTTCCCTTACAGTTCTCTGGAATTCAACTGCTTTAGAAGTCTCATGGTCAAATTATATACTCTAACAATGGCATATTGTAAATAACACTTGTCTTACCTCAATAAAAGGGTACTTTTCTATTCATTGGTGGTCAAGTTTATCTTTGAAGTTTTAAAACTTAAATAGCCCTATAAATAATCTACCTCCTTTTAAAAAAAAACTGACCCCCAGTGCAATTTTGTCTGTCAAATGGCCTTGACATTTTAATTTCTAAATTGCTTAAGTACAGTCATACAACAACTAAGTTAGCAAAACACATTTGAAAACTATTAACATGTATAAAAGAATATTGAGTGGATGGAGAGGTGGCCCAGTGGTTTGGAGCTCTTGCAGAGGATCCAGATTTGGTTCCTGGCAACCATGTGACATCTCACAACCTTCAATAACTACAGGTCCAGAAAATCTGGTGCCCTCTTTGAACCTCAAGCACCCAGCATACATGCAGTGCACACACACAGGCAAAATGCTCATACACATAAATGTCAATGAATATTCATTGCCTTGGGTCGTATACTGTATTTTTTTTTTTTTTTAATGTTGAGCTCCTAACATTCAGGAGGCAGTGCAGGTAGATCCCTGTGAGATTCAAGCAGCTGGGCCTATGTAGGTGCGTTCTCAAGAAACAACAACAAAAAGAATTGGACTCAAAGATCTGCTAAGCATTTGGTTATTCAACAGACATTTTCTGAGTGTCTCCTGGGAACTTAATCCCATGACCAAATGCCAGCAATTAAAAGAATAAGCCCTGTCCACAGGACTTTTTAACTCTTAACATCTCTAAATATACTCTGAGTTACACTGAAACAGATGGTAAAATAATGTCCAGACATCTAAGCCTTGCAGTTTCTTCCACTTTCAGCCTCTACCTGTGTAACAGACTTGTTTTTTAAAGTGTGTGTTGTGTTTTGGCATTCTCTAGAAAAATGGGACCCATAAAATGAGCATATGTTACAGTGATGTTTAGTTGGCTGTAAGATTCAGTCTAACCATCCCTGTCTCAGTCCATGAGGCTGGATCCAGCCTGATACGCAATCTGGTGCTTGAAGGCTTGGGGGATTCCTGGAGAGCTGCAATACTTCAGTCCATGTTGGAAGGCCAAGAAAACTGAGTTCTGATAGCAGCGGAGGACTGAAGCAGTGGAGGAGGGCAGGCAAAGTAGCTGCTTTCCCTCAGACCTGGCCCACTGCTGGAAGGAGCTGTCAGTCCTGAAGGTGTCCCTGCTTCAGTCAAACCTCCAGGAGATCACCTCAGAAGCTTGCCTACAGGTGTCTCCTAATTGATCCCAGTGACATTATCCCAGTATCTTTAGAGGACAAAAAAGGCTTTCGGCATTAATTGGAGTTTTTCCTCAAAATGTGTTTTTTTTTTTTCTATTCTTGAAATGTATTTATTGTAAGGTGAAGGGATGGATGTTGAGAAACGATCCTTTTGTTTCTTTTTGTTGTAATGTAAACCTCAAGATTCAGAACTGTCACTGCTACTCACTGTAAAAGCTGGCTCTGGATTTTTCTATCACTACATTTAGCCAGACTTTTTAGGGAAACCTGTTACGGTTGCTGCCATTAATTACAGAATTTAAAAAATTCTAGCATGAGTAGAGATTAATTTCTAAGTTCAGAGGGCTTATTTTTTTTCTGGAAAATTTATTACATTTGAATACTTGTGAGTCTTCATCCATAGTGTTTTCATCATAAATTCTGTTATAAGCCAAAAAAAACCAGTGCACCACTGACTTAGTATTTACTGAGTCCTGCATTAAAACTTGATTGCAGTCAGTTGTCACTGGGAACTGGACGTCTTCAGTCTTGTTAAGTATCTCACCACTTGGGAGACTGAAATAGGAGGATTGCCAGGACTTAATGGTCAGCCTGGACTAAATAATGAAACATTATCTTGACTGGTAGATGATGGATTGGTTGTAGATAGATTTTTCTTGTCCCGCCAGCCAGCTCCCAAATCATGACAAGGAGACTTACTATTGATTATGCAAGCTCAGACCATAGCTTAGGCTTGTTCCTAACTAGCTCTTATAAGTTAAATTAACCCATATCTTTCAGGGTTTTTTTTTTTTTTTTTTTTTTGGTTTTTTTTTGGGGGGGGGTTGTTTGGTTTGGTTTGGTTTTTCGAGCCCATATCTTTCAATATATGTGTTGCCACATGGCTCGTGGCTTTACCTGTCCTCCAGCATCTCTTGCTCCCTCTGCATCTGCTGGCAACTCCTCTGACTCCACTCTGCCCTGAAAACCCTGTTTATCTATCAATGAATCAGCTCTTTATTAACAACGAGAGCAACACATCTTCACGGTGTACAGGATTATTCCACAGTAATTGGTGATAGATGATTTATAGATAAATAAATGATTATGGATGGACAGATGATGATCTAGTACATCTCTCAAACCTTGGCCAGGACCCAAAAGTTTCAACTTGAGTCCTATTGTTCACTGAAGTCGGATGTGTGAAAGTTACTGACTGGCTGCAGTACTTTCCTGTGATATTATTACTCAGTTGTGAGGACCTCACTAAAGGCCACTAGCATATCTCTCCTCTCCTGTCTGCTGGGCTAAGACAGCTGGATCTTCTAGGTCCTGTCCACTTTCTACTTTTACACTGATTTGGTAGCAAATGATTCTTAAGGCTCCAGGCCCTTATGATGTATATCCATCCCTGGCATTTCATAGGTGCCAGTAAATGTTGAATGGAAGTATGATTATCCAGGTTTGCTGCTGTCCCCTCCAACTCCTAGTGCATTGAAGTCAGGTTTTTTGGAAGCAGACGTCTCTGTCAGCCACAGTGAATGAGGTGAACCCTGTAGAAGTCTCTGCTTCACATCCTGACCTTCACACAAAGTGACTTGTTACTGGGGGGATGGGTCAACAAGGGCAGCCTTTCTTCCCTAAGAAAGTGAGATGCTAGGAAGTCACTCTTGACATCTACCAGGGGGTGTGAATCATTGGTTCTCAGGTCACCCTCCTTTCCATTGTGAAATGAAGGGGCAGAGGAGGACTTTGTAATTATAAAGAATTCTCCTAAGGGGAAAGTAATGATGTAAACTTGCTCCCTAAGTGAATGTATCTGGAAATATCAGTGTGCTTCAATCTCTGGCATGTGAAACTTTATGATAGGCAATCAAATCCTTGGGCCTTGAGCCTTCTGATGAGGTGCTGTGATTGGAGTTGTAATGCAAAAGCCCAGCTGTGGCAGCGCCAACAGACTGGGCTGGCAGCTAGTGTCAATACTCAACTGAAAAGATAATTATGAAAAGCAGAGACAGGAGATGTTTTTCCATGTGCATTGGGAAGGGGACTAAAGGAGCCCAGGGATCCCCAGTTAATCTTGGGTAGGCTGATGTGGGTTTCAACAGGTAAATTTGGGGCAGAATAGGTATGCAGTCCTGACTACAGTGTGGCCCAGTAATGCTCTGTCTTAGCTCTGATTCTACAGGGTCTAAAGAAGTCATTAGCTGAGCATGCTGGCACACAACTGTAAATCCTGGAATTTAGGCAAATGTCAAAAGATCAGGCTTCTATTGCTGCTAGGCCTGAGTGAGGAGTCTTCTTCCTGGAAAAAATGACCTTCTAAGCACCTCTTCTCGTGCACTTGAACCAGTGAGGCAGCTCTGATGTCAGCAATGTGTAAGCACAGGTACTGGCTACCTTGGGCTGAGCATCCAATCAATTCAAATATATGTAACTTGAAGGGATGTCACTCAAGTAACAGGTGTCACTCAGTTACAAGTGATTGTTGTTCAAATGGAACGTGGAAATCCTAGAGCCAGGTTTCAAAATCCAAGTTATCTTAGTGACAAAGGCAAAAATGATCTCTAATGGATATACCTTTAAGGAAGACATCAGAGCCTATTTGATTGACAACCTGCTTGTGCATACTGTCAGCAGAAGAAAGTTCAGTATTTTGACCTATCATATTTTGAACCAAACAATGGGCCCCTCTCCTCCGGTTCAGAGGTGCATCTGTCTTTAAAGCCTGTGATGTAGCAGCAGTGTGTTCCTGGATGTGGTGCCCTCTGTCTGGCCTTGCAGAGCAGCATCTGGCATGCTGTCTATGATGAGACCATGATATTGATAATATGTCAGAGCCATTTCCTCCATTTCTTCAACAGAATGGAAAATGGCAGCTTTGACGTAAAACACCTACTTAGGGATTCACCAGATAAACTAAGTGTATTTATTCTTCCTTAGACTGGGAGTTTCTCTTGGTGATTCATTTTCCTGTTCCTCTTCCTAAAACTTTGATGTGGTTTTTTAAAAGATGTTTTGTTACATTTCTTACCTGTGTGGGGGAGGGGGAAGGAGGGAGAGCTCATGGGCCACAGCATACATGTAGAGATCAGAAGACAACTTTTCACCTTATGGGATCTGGAGATTAACCTCGGGCCCTCAGGTTTGCCAAGCATTGCTGTACCCACTGTGCCAGCTCCCTGGCCCCTAGCGCTTAGTTGAATCTGTCTCCTAAGACAGTGGGTACAAGCCACCACTTCAGCAGCTCTGGCTGCTCTGATGGGAAGACCAGTCTACAAATCCCTAAATACGAACTCCTCTCTATTTTCCATTCTCATTTGCTAGCTCTGATGGATGATCAACTGTCAACTTGATGAGGTCCAAAGCTTTGGCATGCCAGTGAGAGGTTACCTTTTTGTTGTTGTTCCTTTTTTTAATAAGTGTTTTTAATTGAAATAGGATTATAACACTTCCCCTCCCTTTCCTCCCTCCAGCCCTTCTAAGCTGCCCTCCCTCAAACCCCTTTCATGTTCCTAACTCTGAAGTTGGTAGCCTCTTTTTCTTTGATTATATTTGTTATATACATATGTATGTGTATGCACAAATATATACATATATATATATATATATATATATATATATATATATATATACACACACAACCTGCTGACTTTTAAATAAGTTTGAGACAGTTGTAGACTATGGGGATTTTTGAAGTTGTACTGAATGCATTATTGCATTATGATATGGCTATGGCTACAAGCCTTTGGGGACCAGGGAGTAGAATGTGGTGGTTTGAAAAAAAAAATGGCCATGAAAGGGAGTGACATTATTAGGAGATGTGGC